AAGTAAGACGATGGAGTTGGAGTCAGTATGGCTCAGTAGAAGACCTTAGATGACTCGCACACTCGTGGTACAAAGGAAAAGGAGTCTATTTGTCATGTTCTCATATCTTGAGCTAATGCACCTCTGAACCCGTGGATATAGAATTCTGTGATGGTGGTGGTGGTGGTGGCTGACTTGCCAAGGCAGCCCTGGACTCACGGATGTTGGAAGAAGACTCAGCCGCTGGTCCTACCCACCTTCATGGTCACTTCCAGATTGACAACACTTTCTTCTAAATCTCTCTTAGTCCAGGAGCCCTGCTGAAACTTGCCCAGCATCCTAGCAAGAAACACGCCTCCACAGACAGACAGACATGAAGTGCACTGACTGAGAGTCAAACCTGGGTCTCCTGCTTGGCAAGCCAGACTTCTACCCCCAAACCACCACTGCCCTGATATACAAACCTTACTAGGCTTCAAACCAGGGCATTCCACTGGGACATGGGCTCATTCCTGCCAGAGTCGTTTTTTATAAATACAATTATATGTTGTTAGGGCATTTTAACAAAAATAAACATTGTGTTTATAGGTTATGATATATCCTGAATGGAAGTGCTCTCATTATGCTTATAATTATAGCAATCTCTCAAGATTACACTTTTTTTAGCTTACTACAGTTTCAAAGTCCTTTCATTACAGCAGAATACGTAGTTAAAATAACTTTCCTGTAATTGTAGAATGAGCCAAATGTACATTTACCAAATTAGATAATCTGGGGTTCTATTCACGTTGCTTTCTCATGTGGAGATTATATATGTATATATTTAAAGTCAGATTAATTACACTGTGCCTAAAACTTGTGGAAAAAATATAAAGTTATTGGGGTGTGATTTTTATTTTTTAACGTCTCTTAATTATATATCCAAAACCAAAACATTTTCCTCCAGTCGGTTCCAGCTCATGGCAGCCCTGCGGGTGTGACACTGGCCTCTCCGGGTTCTCGATGTCTCGCTCTGCAGCTGCAGATCACCAGGCCTTTCTGTGTCTGCACTCTAAAACATTGTCTTTCTGTTCTCACATGACCATTGACAGCGACAGAACTGTGTGCACGGAGCCTCCTGATCATCTGAGATATTGAGGCGTCACGTTCCCTTACGTGCCAACTTAGTGCCTACTCTCTCCCGAAGAAATGACTTTCCTTCTAAAACCCACCTCCCTTTCCTTTTAGGTCATAATTGATCACTTCTTGCCCCAAGTTAAGCTCTTGCATCTGTTTTGGAGAGAGAAAATGAGGACTGGATTCTCTGATTCAAGGCCATTTCCCCTGACTTTTTTCTTCCTCAAACCAAACAGTGCTTTTTGTTTAACTTCTCTCCATTGTTCTTTTGTGTGTGAGGTCCCTGGGAGTGGACATTTAACACCACATTGTTCTTGTTCTGCAGAGGGTAGAGGCTGATGGGCCAGGTCCTTCCCCAGTAGAAGTGTTTTGTTTGCCATCTAATCAGAACTGACTCATAGCTGACCCTCCAGAGGGTTTACAGAGGCAGGGAAATCACACAGGCTGCTGGAGCGGCACCCACTTCCTAAACCACATGCCTCTGGAAACTCTATGAACTTTGAGAAATGTCCATAGTTAGAGAAAGGCTTCAGGCCTTTTATTCATAGGGTCGTGATGAGTCGAGCTCAACTCGCCAGCAATCAACAACTACAAATTGCACAGGAGGAGATTGCCCGCAGTTCTCCCAAGGAGCAGAGATGGATTCAAACACGTGCCTTAGCAGAAATAGTGCCATTCATTCACTGGATCTTCATTCATTCATTCACT